ACATCGTATTTTTGTCTTTCCCTGGAAGACATCTAGTGTAAGGGCCTTCGAGTCCTTACGGATTTCTCGAACAAAATGCCGCGGAAGAAGATGGTTACGTTGTCGAATACTGTTGTTGCAGAGGATGGAATGTGGCAAAACCCATAGTTTTAACACCTTCAAATGCGTGAATTACCCCTCCCCCCCTCCCCCCGCTCCCCTCGAAGCGCTGGTCTCTCGGAGAACCTAGGGCGGTCAGTGTTAGGGTTTAGGGCTTAGGGTTTAGGGTTTAGGGTTTAGGGTTAAGGGTTCAGGGTTTAGGGTTTAGGGAGTGCTACAACTGTGATGTCTGCACATACCCCCTTTCAGGAGAAAGTATTCAGGCAAGATTCATTTCTGGGCAGTTATTCTTAGAGGGAAGAGGTTGTCAAACACTCTTACTAGCAGCACGTCTGATCTGCAGTTCTCCAGCTGCCCCCTCCGCACGAGGCTCCAGAAAGAATGATTCCCACAAGCAATGGGGCCGGTGCAGGTGGTCATTTAAAAGTTCCCACATACATCTAAGTTCCCCCACATGGCATAACCCACATATAACCCCGGTTGACCTCCATTATGTGTATCAGGATTTCGGTCACCCCAAACTGGGCCAATGCCTTGCATGCTTCTTAGGCACCCTGAGGTACCCCAAAGTGGCATCCCGGAGCTTGCGGGCGACGAGAACCCAATAAATGGTGCCTCTCTTGAAGTTCAAAAATTGTCCCACTTCTGGGGCTTCTACCTGGCAGCCACCCGGCTTTGTAGGGTTTGTATATACACACACATAATTATATATACACATATGTCTACGTGTATGTACATGTGTATATATATATATATTATGTATGTAGGTTCCTTAAATAGGGGGACGCCAATTGAAATCCAAAATCCTATGATCCTTCGTATAAGGACCGCCAAGATGGTACGCCTAGTCTTGGGAAACTCCCATAAATACTGTTCTGGCTGCATAGGGTTTCGAATCTAGGGCTTATCGACATGGTTGAAGTTGAAGCCAGCACAGAAAGCGTCTGACCTTTTTTACGGTACCATACTATCTGCCCTAAACCCTAAGCCCTTAGGTTTTAGGGTTTAGGGTTGGACGGGTACAAAGTACTGGGGACAGTTGTCCATTGGTAGCTAGCTGGCCACACTTGAAGAACCTTTTGTGAAGCCACATACAGGGATCCTACGGGGGATTACTACAGCGCAGTACTGGGGATCCTTATTAGCGACTATAGGGGGACTGTTGTGCGAAATGCCCAACACATCAGACATCGAATCTCAGCCATAAATCTCAATTCATGGTTGCTAGTCGGGAATGGAGGAAAGAGAAAATGGAAACTATGATTTAAGGTTTGTAGGGTCTGGGGTTTAGGGTTGCTAGTAGGGACTGGGAACAGATAAGGAAGCAAATGGGAAGCTCTAGGTTCAAAAGGGTCTCGGAACATCATGCATATTCACAAAACATGTCCCGTTCTTATGTTTCAGCGGGTATAGAGGGTCCGCTATTGTGGAAATATGATAGGTGCGAATATAACCTAGAACTCATTCTGAACTGTGCAAGCTCACGCAGATGGCAACGATGTTTGCATAAAACCCAGAAATTTTTTTGCCGGCTAAACCACGAGAGAGAGAGACTCACTCTGCATTAAAGGCTTGCAATGGTATATTTAGTTAGGCGGTTAGACTACTACTCAAGTGTTCCAAACAAACTCCAAGACATAATCGTGTGGATGGCATCTGTGATGTGAAAGGGTTAAGGGCTTAACACAACTACTAGAACCGAAACGCAAAATCTCAGCTTATTCTCTGGACCCTCTAACCCTAAACCCTAAACCCTTGGTCACATAAGAGGGCATGAAATTGCAGCTTGGGGTTTGAAGGCGCTGATTTACAGTCTAGGATGTCGGGTGTGCGCTCTGGGGTCGAGCGTCTACGGTTTCAAGGGTGTGAGGTGTAGGATCGATGGTCTACGGATCCAGCAGATAAAATTTCGGTCGTGGGACGTTGAGGTGAAGGCACTGCCATGGTCCGAAGCCCTAGAAGGGTGTGGTCTTGCGGACCGGACCTTTTCGGGCCACTGTGGCCGGGAGTCTTCGCCAGGCAGAAATCGTCACGATGGCAAATATCCAAGTCTACCCGAGTTTAGGTTGGGTAAAACCAAATGCTTCCAAACAGAAACCTCTTCTATCCACACCTGGTTAGGCTCCAGCGTACTGCGCTCCAGCGTACTGCCACGGCCACGCCCTAGCCTTCTACGTGGGTATTGTTGTATAATCTCCTGTGCCGGATTAAAGAGGCACGCAGACTCACAAGGTTCCAAAGGGCGTCCACCAATAAGTTGGGGCCAGCCCCCTGTCTGTGTCTATGACAGGTTCGACGAGCGCACTGGGGATATTCAGACCCCAAGACGGTTCGAACTACGCAAAGATGGGACTAAGGAGGCTTCGAGCCCAAATGCAGGGTAATGGAGCACATCTAGCGTGAAGAAATAATTTCTGTATGAAAGCCAGGAGACACTTAGCCATAGATACAGCGTAATCACAACAGCCAGACCACCATCAACACCACCAGCCCCACTCCAACGACAACAAGAAGCAATTCTTTGGGTAACGTTGCTGTTGCTGTTGTTGCTGCTGCTGCTGCTGCTGCTGCTGCCGGCGCCTCTGCTGCTGTTGCTGTTGTAACTCCCGTTCTAGGAAATGAAATGAGGCATAGGTGTGGCGGTTGGTCTTTCGTCGGCAGGTAGGTGAGCCTATAAGCAAGTGAAAGCCGCGGGTACAATGCAAATAGTTTTTGCGACTGCACTGACTGCTACCTCAGGGCGCCAAAAGGCTATGAAAAATATGTCAAGCCTACGCTAGCTCCCCTTGGTTGAAGGTTGCCCACTCAAATACCATTGCTAAAGCTCCATCACCCTGCAACCTAAATTCTACCTCCTACATCTCTACCCCTCCATCACCTTGACTGCTTCGCGGAGGCCCATGGTTTTCCTCAGCATACGGCAACAAAATATCTGCAACAAGCCTTGATATGATTGAGGATTCTAAGCATGTCTTTATCAGGGCCATAGAGGTGTTATCTGGGAATGTAGGGAGTATATTCTGGAAGCTCCCAGAGTCGAGAATCATATAGCAAATCGAGCGACTGAAATGGAAACTGCGGTTGCATTGGAGCTCATGTGGGGTTTGTATGTTGTCAACAGGGTCTACTGGGGTTGCCCCCTGAAGGGGGGAAATTCCTTTTAATTGACTTATTCTGAGCTTATCTGGGCGTTGCCAAAGCTTATGTCACCCTGATCTCCCCGCGCCTTGAGAGAGTTGAACCCGCATCTTGCACGTAATTGTATGAGTGGGTTACTGCGCCCAGCCCCTAAACCCTAAACTCTAAACCCTAAACCCTAAACTCTAAACCCTATACTCTAAACCCTAGCCCTAAACCCTAAACCCTATACCCTAAACCCTAAACCCGATACTGGGGTCCTTCCCCTAAGGACCATCCTCTGAACATTCAAGCCACCAACCCTGAGCCTCGAGTCTGAGGTTTTAAGGATATAGGTTTAGGGTTTAGGGTTTAGGGGCTATATAAAATTAATGGAAGACAAAATGGAAACTACTAGGGGTTCTATAGGGAGTATATAGGGGTATATAGGGTAAACGGAAAGGAAAATGGAAGCTACCAAATTATAGGGATATATTTAAAGGTTATATTGGGATAATGGAAAAGAAAATGGAAACTACTACTTAGGGTTTGGGGTTTAAGGTTTGGGGTTTTTGAGTTTGGGGTTCTCGGCTTGGGGTGTAGGGTTTGGGGCTGAGTAGGAGTTGGGGTTTGGGGTTTAGGCTCAGGTTACCACGAAACTGTTCGGCGAAAGAATTATGGGTTCTCAGAACCTTGTAGCCCACAAACCACAACTTAAAGTTTTCCCCCTATCCTGGAAAAAATTGGTAACCCTCTGCAGCTTCCTGAACAGACCACGTTAAGTAAGCCTAGGGTGGTTCGCGTGCGGGAAGAACTGACTACACCCTGTACAGGGACAGTAGCCCCTTGTCACTGTAACGCCCGGCCGACAACATTCGGTGGCTACAGGAGGAGCCTAGAACCAAAAAATATGAGCATTCCAGCCGTAAACCCTCAGCCATAGACCCCAAGCCCTAAATCTTAAGCTTGAAACCTTCGGCCCGAAGCCCTGAGCCATGAACCCCGGATCCTAAACGAGAGAACGAGAGCTGCATCTCAGTTTCACCTGTACCTCCATGGTCTGGAAAACCTTTTTCACGGGTGATAGGATTTGGGTTCACGGCTTTGAGGTCGAGTTCACTGTAGGGTTTTCACGTGTAGGGTTCGGGTTAGGATCTTGACTGGGGATTGGAAGAGTTTAGGAAGAGTTTGCTCTGGGTTTGCCAGCTCTCTCTCTCTCTCTCTACATTGCCCGCAGCCCCCGAAAAAGGGTCCCTCTCCTTCTATTCAGAACAGTGAACCCAATTGGGATCTTTTCGAGTCCAACTTGACGCCCATCTAAGGATTCGGAGATGGTTTTTGAAGTTGGAAATTTCCTAAACCCTATAACCCTACACCCCAAACCCTAAAGCCTAAACCCTAAACCCTAAACCCAAAACCGGGGATGTCTCTGCAACAAGGACCCTCTCTAAGCCCTGAATGCCAAGGCGCGGACCTGGATTTTCTACCTTGACTATTGACTGCGGCCAACCCTAAGCTGTAAAACCTGAAACCCTAAACCCCTAACCTGAGGCAGGTCTGGGGGGGCTGTATAAGAATTCAATTTATATGGCTTTAAGAAGGGTATATAGGCATTGAAGGCAACAAGAATTAAAATCAGTTTTTACATCTACCCCTGTAAACCGAAACCCTGAACCTCATTCCTAGCTCACGTAAATGAAGGCTTTCCAGGCGCGGAAAAGGTGGAATAAGGCCGATCAGTAGCAAATGAACCCCCAGCATGTTCCCAACATGGAACCCCAGAAAGGACCCGAGGACTTTCCCTGTAGAAGAAATGTCCAACTCTTTTTGGGAAAAGCAAATAAACAAAAATGTGCTGTCCCATCTTTGGGCCTCAGATATTCCAGAAACCCCACCAGAAATTCGAGTTGTTTGATTGTTTTTTCTGGAGGTGGAGGGGGAGGGGGGGGGGTTGGGACAGTACACATCCCAGATTTCAGGAAACAGTAAAGCCGTTAAGCCGTTTGCTATTTGAGATTGTGTTTTCTGGGAACAGTACAGCACCAGACAATCTGCTTGTAGCAATCTCGAGCAGCCTGGGCCCTATAGGTTCTCAGCCCTGAACCCTAAGCCCTATACTTGGAGGCACATAGGACTTAGTAACTACTTATAACTGGGATTATAACCCTACGTATAACTAACCCCTATAAGCCCAGTTAGGGGGATCATAATTAGGGTTATAAGCCCAGTCATAAGTAGTTACTAGGTCCCATGGGCCTCCAAGTAATCAGCCCTTCGCCCTGGACCTTAATAAACCCTAAACCCAAATCCCAGATGCTATAATTGTCTTTAATGAGTTCTGCACTACCCCATCAAGGTTCCGAATGGATGAACCAAAATAGGCCCACGTGAGCCTACTTAAGAGGGAATTTTGGGGGAAGGTAATATTGAGGAGGGTGACCAGGTAACCAATGAACCCCAAACCCTAGATCCTAAACTGCGTTTGCATTTAGGGACCTGGTAATACAAAGTCCCAACCTTTCAGCCGGGCCACTGCCTTGTGCGACCCAAAGAAGTCGGCTTCCAGGGCCTCGGAAGCGCAGCATTTGCTAGCGCTTAACAACTAAAGAAGTTAGGTACCCATTTGGGAAATATTAGGGCTATATTGGGGTTCTATGGGGATCATGGAAAAGAGAAAACACTACTATAATGGGTTATTTAAGGTTTAGGGTCTAGGGGAGGGGTAGTGGAAATAGGCTCGTCAAAGTCCTTAGCCTCTAGGACTTTAGAGGACCTAAACCCTAACCCTAAACCCTAGGGTTTAGGGGGGTTTAGGGTCTAGAGGGGTTTAGGGTTTAGAGTGGTCTAGGGTTTTAGGGTTTAGCAAACAAGCCAGCTTCCGAAACGAAGAAAGCTCGACGAAAAAGAATGTTCCCTGTTTTGGAACCCAAGAAATGGACGAATTGCATGAGCTGTGAAGCATTACTCATACCAAAAAACTTGTCCAAAGTCCAAAGCTCTCCATTCTTAAACCTGGACGCCAAACTTGGAGCACAACTCTTAACCCACGACCCAAGCCCAAGATCCACACCCATCAGCAGCAAGCAGAAGAAGAAAAAGGAAAAAAAAAAAAAAAAACAACCAAATAGCCTCAACGCTAGTAGTTTTGCTCTTAGGGGCCTACGGCTTATTCATGTCTTCCTAGCAAAGCCGACACCCAAATTGCCAGAAGCGA